ATGCAGCTTTGCAAACCTAAGACGTGCTGCCACGGTTTTTATTAGAAAGAAGAGGCATCTCTTCCAAGCAAACCCTACTTGTTCAGTCTAATTGTACTTTCATGAATGTTAACATTTAAGATGCCAACTGAGGCCTGTAGAGTCTGAGATGTAACCTCGGGCTTTTTGCAATTTCACTGATCATTGCATGGTCTGAGATATGAAACAGGTGGACGTCCTAGGAGAAATTCATGAGACTCATCTTATTAGTGTTCTAAAATAAACTATTCATTTTTGGTACCACCCAAACTGATATTTGTTTTGCTAGATGCTGAATCATTTGATCAGCCAATGGCTTCTTCAGAATAATCCAACAGGAGAGCACGACATCCTATTGTGGTTTCATGAAGTGGAAATCTTACCACTGGAATCCCTTAGTAATATACTGTATAGATATTTAGTCATCCAACAGTTGAATCATTTTCCAGTGTCCCCACAAGACTGAGATATCAGTTTTTGGTTTTACATGCACTTTGCCTTTAATTTGATAGGAAATAATATAGTTAGCATATAATTAGCATTTTAGCATTACTTTCTTCTTAACAACAGTGCTTGGCATTTCCCTCGAGAGCCACTGATCTAGCCATAATCATATTCCAAGAAAACTGCATTTGATTTCTCTGTGTGATTTTCATAGCAACACAAAACAGTTTGGAGGGAATATTGCCAGCAATAACTCAGCATTTGTAATTAAGCTTTTCATGCATACTACGGATTTTGGGATGTCAAGAGTGAAATTAGTGTTCACTTGTTGGTTAAGCTCTCATTATTTGCCTACAGACGAGCAGTGACTGTATAGTATTACATCAGGTACATAACTACAGACCCAACAGGACAGAGAGCCCAACACTGACTGACTGCAAAGAAAGTCATCCAGGCATGAATAGAATATACAGATACATGATATATTGTTAGAAAAGGAAGCGGCTACAATTCCCCCAGGTTTCCCTGTTATGTCTGTTACAAGCATTGGGAAAGGCATTTTGGCAAGCTAAGGGTGCTGTGGGTTCCAGATGAGCTGTAGTTATCAGGGACAATTAGATCGCTGCTTTTAACCATTTTTATAGGGGGCAGCTACCTTCAGAAGTGTCTGTCACAAAACTTTGGTCCAGAGCAAATTGTTCTGTAGAGAGACACTGTGCGGTGTCAGCTTTGCCAAGTAAGAACTACTGCATTTTAGTTCTGAACACAAGGTCCATTTCCCTGTTGAAAACGGAATTTGTTTTTGTAGTTAGTACTGTACAGGCCAAGTTTTTTTTTAATGTTTCTTTGTTTTGGAAAAGCTGCCATGGTTTATTTGACACTGGCAACGCAATTAAGCGGCTTGGGGATGCATGGCAACTGCTATTTGGACTCTGTCCACCTGTAAATAACCCCCCCTCCCAATGTTTGGATTTCTGCCCCAGCAGAGGGCAAAAACAAGGCTGATGTAATCATAGCAGGCCAGGCATACAGAGTAATATCCCATGGCTGGACAGCTCCAAGCATGTGGGCCTTCCTCCATGCAGATAGCAGCTTGTTTGCTTTCCAGGAATGGGTGGGTGTAAAGAGGGAGCCCTAAAAAAAACGAGGTTTCTCCTCTCAAAACACAAAATTGCTGGTGAACAGCAGTCTTGCATAAATCCCAAATTGTGTATCTCTACCACATTACATGCACCAGTGGTTCAGAAGCGGGGAGGCTGTCAGCTTTGGCCCAGTGTTGGGGGGTATAAAAATGACGACTGATATGCTGCATATTACTGACAAAGCCAAGCAAGAAGACTAAATCCAGCCAATATTTTGTTTTTGGTTAGAAGAGTTTTGAATGGTGAAGAGTTAAAATTTATGTCAGGTTTCTATTTTTCTTTTCTAATAGGAAGATTTTTCCTTACTTCCTATCTCTGTGACACCAGAATAAGAAATTGGAGGGGCAGTTGTCAAAGGGACAGAAGGCCACAGACAACAGTAATATCATTGTCATGTTCGACCCCTTCATCGCTCTTCTAAATCACTTTTGCTTTATGCCTTTGTGCCCATTGGAGAGATTTTCCCTCACGTCATGTCTTGACAGGTAGTGAAGTGAAATATCCCCAACAGGGACACAGAAATCCCTGACTGATGCTCTACCGCTATCCCCACACTGCAAGAGTAAGTGCTCGTTATGGTCTATGGGCGAAAATGAAGAATATACACTTACCTGATCCTCGATCCTGCGGCAGTGACCACTAAGCCCTTGGTATCCTCACATCTATTGGGCTTGCATTAGATGTGATGAAGTCCTAGGCTTCATCGGAGCCCAGAGAGAGGTTGCGGAGACCAATTTAGCAGCCTGGTGGGACCTAGGATCTGGTGAGTATATCTTCCTTTTGTTGCTAGACCAAAACAGCACCTAACCCTTGCAGTGCAGGGGTAGCCCCACTGCAAGGGTTAATTTAAAAGAATCCTGAAGTTCCTCTTTAACACAATTCAGTTACGTGTCAGACATTTGTTTTTCATATTTTGCAGTCATACTCTAAAAAGAACTATTTGCATGTAAACTGATCACATAACACAATCCTAATGCAGTTTAATAAAACATGTTTCTCTGCAGAGTGCTTACTGTTTACGGGGGCCTTATGTTTTCATCACCCTGCCCAGTATGAAAGAGTCAAAACTCCATGCCATGTCCAAGCTGAACTGCTCTGAGCCAGTAAAAAGAAAGCCGCTCTGCTCCCATAATGCAACAGGAGCTTTTACCACTTCTGTGCAAGTTCTATAGTGTGTCCACATAAAGAAATGGCAGAAGAAGGCAAAGGCCAGGGCACATAAGGCACTTGCCCTAGTTCAGGTCAGGTAGGCCAAAGAAAGCAAATATGTTTTATTTCTCAATGGTGACTAACAAGGGGCTGAAGGTGTTCGTGTTACCTGTAACATTTGGAATGGCTGAAAGAAATGTGGAGAAGCATCACCTTCCCTGCAATTTGTAGTGGAGGCTGTAACTAGTCTTTAGGGAATCAATCATTACCCAGGAGACACTCTAGAAGCTTCATTATCATGGCCTTTCCATGGCCTTTGTATTCCTATAGACTTACAGGCAGAGGCTTAAATATTTCCTGGCACCATAGGCTGGAATTCTATTTTCCCCACGTGCTGGCATAGTACAAAACCACAAGAGAAAGGAAATACTGTATACTGACACCACTTGGCGTTATCACTTTTTCCCAAGCCTCAGACGTTTATATTATACATATCAAACCCCATGCTGATCTTCATATGATAGAATAGTAACATATTACATGAAAGCTGAACTCCAGGCAAACAGCTAAATGCAAAGATGAAATACCTATATATTGTTTTACCCTCTAGATGATTTGTAATTCTGGTAATCCAGTTCTGAGATTGCCTCAGATCTGATGCATGAAACAGCCCTGCATGGTTGGACAGGAGACTTCATTTTTTTGCTGAAGCTCTGTAACACTTACAGGTCTCCTCTCCAACCCTACCCTGTGATTGGACAGTGAAAGGAGAAGGAGCAAACTGATGAGTTTCTCTTTCTGTCACTCTTTTCTCCTCCTATTAGCATGCGCCTTGTGCTGCTTCTCCATCCCCCAGTCTTAGCTCTGTTGTACAGGAATTGTAAAAGGCTGATACCAAGTCAGACTCAGGCACTTGAACTGCTTGCATTACATATTAAATTTAAAATGATATTAAGAAATACAAAGCTGCATTAATCTACACTGTTTATCTGTATAGAGTTCAGATTTAATTGGCAACTTTTGTTTTTTGTACACATTTGTTCCGTGCAAGTAAAGACAGCCTTGTGAAAGCTGTAGTTGAATCTCCAGTGAATGCATAGCCTGGCTGTCTATGTGCCAGCTGATTAGAGCAGTGGTTTAGCCAATGGAAAACGGAATATTTCCTGTTCAGTCAACCCTTAAAATGTGTAATGGCAGATTTGTCCAATATACTTGGCACCTGTAGGGGGGCTCTGCGTTACTGCATGGAGAGGTCCATCAAAGGCAGGGGATCTAACTTGACAGTTTCAGCAACAGCTGACCAGCCTCAGGCTGTCTATGCCTATGTTACATTGGGCTCTTTTCTTGCAAGGATGCCCCTCTTTCTCTCTTGGGGTATTCTCATTTGGGAAGTAATTAAAATTCCTTCGCATCAGAGATTTTAATTTAACTTCCAGGCTGTAAAATCAGACAAGACCCTCCTTCTAGAAGAGCGCCTTTAGTGCAGGTTGAGTTATATTTTTAACCCCTTTCATCCACTGTCACAAGATTACCCCTGAACCAGGTGCGCCAGTAACTCTGTATCTTCCAGTGAGTGGATGTGAAACCATTTCAGGCAATTGTATGGACGTCTTCTGCATCAGATGGGTTTATATAATTAGATTTGCCGGTGCTAGAGAGGACAGGTGAATGGGCCTAGGTAATATCTGTTTGGATCTACTGTAATTGAGGTCTCTAGGCAGAAATCCAATTATCTTTTCAATTCTTCTCTCACTCTTATTGTAATTGTTTCTGTAACAGGCTTGCAATCTACAGACCTTTTTAGAAATCAGTTCCACAGTCAGGGCTCCTGTCTGACAAGTCATTGTGTGGCCATTTTGGCAGGATCACCTTAGTTGTTGCTTGACTGTTGACTCACAGTTCAAATATTCATTAATACGCCACAGCCATCATTTATTGAATGCTTGGAGGCTTCCATCATTTTTCATGCCATAGTGAATGGCCTGCAGCATGCCAGAGGTGGCTATGCATTTCTAGCCAGGGTTTTGACCTTTTTATCCATTTATGAACTATTACAGTCCCAGAGCCACTAATTAGTATCCTATGAGCTTGACTCTTAGCGTGGCTGGTGTAAATGAATGCAGCACTCCCACGCTATTAAACAAGTGTGGGGGTAATTTTGAATGGCTTATCAGTCAGCAGCTGCCTCGTTCTACCCTATTACTAATTTTCCTCTCTCTTCTCTCCTTGCTTTCCTGCCTGCTACAGTAATGTGGACACCAGAGAGCTCTGTGGTAAGATTCTGCTTCTAATGACCTTAAATGACAGTGGGGAATACAGCATGCTGACCATTTAATGCTTCCTATAGCAGTCGTAAGAATATGTAATTTGGGTCTGTGTCATTAACCTTTTGCTTTCCAATTTGACATTTACTGTGTTAATAATGTGGATCACGGTGACATTTGTAGGTTTGGCAGTCATTATAAAGTGAACCTGTTCATATGGTAAATATACTGTATTCACTCTTGTACAACTTTATTTTTCATTATTGCACTGTACCATCATATGTTATGATTATCATCTGCTTTTTCTCTTGGGGGTACTTGCAAGTAGAACTGTATCCAGGCTCTGGGCATTCATAATGGGCATGCATATTCTTATCAGCAGTAAACAAGCTTGTACTTACATTTGTAGCTGCAGGCACTGTGAAACAATTCATCCTCACAAGAGAAGCAGTGAAGTCACTCACGTTTAATCTCAGCACTCGTTGCTTCCCCTCTTCCTGTGAACCTGCTCTGTTCTTATATCACAGATTAGGAGACTGGCAGACTGCTAATTTACTGTTGGCAGAGTGGATTAAAATTATCTGTTGACAGAGAACAATTACATGAAAGTATGTTTACTCTGAACGTTGTGTATTAAAGGAGAATTATTAGTAGAGTGAAATACACTCATCCCCATAATTAGAGCCAGAGCTGAAGCTGTCACACATAGCCTCTATAGATCGAGAATTGAGCGATCACATACAACTGATCGGTCAGTTCCCAATCTTCTCCCTGCAGAGAGCCGTGACTATCAGCCACGGAGGCGGGCACAGCTGGCTCTGCCTCTAAAGAGGCAGAGCCAGCTGTCAATTAGGCAGCTGGATCCCGACAATATTGTTTAGAGCCGTCCTGGCTCTGTGCTGTCAGCATATAGCAGGCAATAGCCTGCTATATTCTGAGTTCTGGGTCACAGGAGGACATTAGTATATGTCCTCCTGTGACCCTAAAGAGAATTATGGCAAAAAAAAGTTTGGCCCATAGTTCTCTTTTAATTCTTATAAAATGTCTGCAGCTACAGAGGCCAGTGAGGGCTGGTTTTAAATCATTGTTGATCCTGGTTAAGAATATGCAAATAGTTGAATGACCAAAGCCGTGCCACAGTTCTACTTTGCAATATTGTTTTTGTTTGTTTTAGTAGAAATGTATTTACTGCTCACTCACTCCAGTGCTCTATGCTGTTATAAATAGGTAATGACCACTGCCCTCATCACATGTCCTCATGGATACTTTTTTTTTGTCCTGAGGAATAGAGGGACTGTGTCTGACCAGCTGTGTTGGATTACAGAATGCACTGAGTATTGCAATCAAACTCTGGTGCCTATTGGACAGCCCAGTCATATTTAGGCACACTGTTCAACTGCTATAACAGTAGAGTGGATGTAAGGAGGTTGCTAGTACATTGTTTGTATGACTGAATATTAGTTTCTTCAGCTGAGCTTTTAGCTGACATAGTTGCCTTTTCTTGTGCTTGATCGTACCATTGCAAAGAAACCACCTTCTTACTCTGAAAGGGTCCCTGAATCTGGGCCAATGCTGTGTGCAAATTTTGACTTTAGACCAAGTCAGGGCTCTGGCACCTCCACACTGCTTCCTTTAAAACAAATTGTGCATGTAGGTGATTTATGGACCAGTATGCCCTGGCATGAAGTAGGGGAACCTAGTTTAAGTTAAAATTGCAACAGTGTACCCCTGGTACAGCAGCTTCCGAAAGTGCAGGAGAAGACTTTTTATGAAAAGGGTTATGCAGGAACCTTGTGGTGTCACTTTTGGAGGACCACATGCGTTTAACAGCTCACTGGAAAGGTATCTTTGGATAGTAATAATGTTTAAGAATATTTGAGCACCATGGACCTCGAGGTTGATATAGAGGACCTGCCTTTTTCTCTAGTACACTTAATTTGAAATCCGCTAAAAAATATGATACTTCTTATAGATCACTTTTCAAAAGTTAATACTTTTTGAGAGAATTTCAAACTCAGCACTAGGTGTTGCTGCAGTAATCCATCCCTAAGCTAAGAATTTGGCGATGCATCTCCTTGCTAGCTTGTTCCTCAAAGAGACACAGTGCTTGCTTCAGAATATCAGATGCAATTGATGTATGTTTATGCCTCTCCCACTGTCTTTAACAGTCTAAGCTTACTAAGCTGCCTTTTATACTGGTATACATACAGTAGGAGCTTCAATTGGAGCTTTAAAATATTATTAATTTACAGGATTTATATAGCTCCAACAGTTTGCACAGTGCTTTACAAAATAAGGAAGACATTACAGTTACAATTCAAAGACAAGATGGTTAGGAGGGTCCTGCCCATTAGAGCTTACCATCTAAAAGGGAGGGGCAAATGATACAAAAGGAGGTAGCTGTGTGTGGGAATGAATTGTTTGAGAAAGCGATAGATCAGTGGTAAGGTTGAGGTGGTATAGGCTTCCCTGAAGACTCATCGCCTAATGACAGACAGAGTAGGAGATAGACAGACAGGTTGGTGTAATGAGTTTCAGAGGATGGGAGAGACTATGGAGAAGTCCTGGAGGTGAGCAAGGGAGGAGTTGACGAGGGAGCTAGAGTCCTTGGGAGGAGCGGAGAGAAGGGTGATACTTTGAGATGTTATCCTTTGGGTGAATGGAAGCCAGTGGAGGGATTGGCAGAGGGGGTTGCAGACAGTGAGCGGCTGGTTAGGTGAAATAACTTTACATGTCTGCATTAATTAATTTGTGACATGTCTCAGTATACAGTAACGGTATATATTTTTATTATAAAGCAGTCATTGAGCTTTAGGCAAGCAACTTTGCCCAGACTGAGATGATGTTTTTTAGTCTGCTGCTAGCAAGATAAAGCATTTCCGCAGTCTCCTGTCCCCTAGTGATCAATCTGCAAAATGTTATCTTTGTAGCAATTTACTAGATAAAAGGCTGCAGTGGGACTAATCTGTGTCAGACATCTTGAAACACAGTCAAGAACTGTGCAGGCTGACCCTGAACGATAATAGATAGATTTCTAGTGTGTGTTAATGGATATAAAGCCAATACAAAGCAATATTGAATTCATATTTAATAAGTTAGTGCAAAAAGTAAGGGCTTTGAGAAAAGGGAAACAACCCATAGCAACCAGATTTCAGTTTACTATCTTCAGAAGATTAAATCTGGTTTATATGAGTCACTGCATTTGTACACAGCCATTTAATTTTTGCACTTATACAACAACAACAAAAAACTTGGCAATGAGCTCTGTGTCTGCGATTGGTTATATCCGGATTATGGTCATGTTCTTTTTAATAAATGTATGTTTTCTGTTTTTTACAGACTATTTTGCAAATCATATGGGGGATTATGAAGATGTCCTCTCTTCGCTCGAAACCCTAAATTTGTCAATACTAAAGGCAATGGACTACACCAAGAAGGTGAGTTCTGAAGGCTGTCAATGTCAAGTATATACAGTAAATAGGAAAGTACTAAAACAAACTTCAAGCCTGTTACTTAACGGAAATCTTCTTTTGACAATCTGTATTACTCATAAACTTCAAGTGTTTCCGTACACAGGAGAGTATTGTCACAAACATATTATATTCTAATTGTAAATGGAAGGTATGACAAGTTAAGAAATTAACAGGAAACAAAATATTATATAAGGTACAAAATTTACTCTTGAAATCAATGGTTTCCTAAACCAGGGGTAGGCAAACTCCTGCCCTCCAGCAGTGTTGAAACTACAAATTCCATCATGCATCTGCCTGTGGGAGTCATGCCTGTGGCTGTCGGAGTCTTGCAATGCCTCATGGGATTTGCAGTTGCACCTGGAAGGCCAGAGTTTGCCTCCCCCTTTCCTAGACCAAGGTCTGAAATCTTGCAACTTATTATTGAGGTTCGTTATTTGGAAGTGTCTTGGTGCATTCCCTGAGCCTGGTGCATATGGACTAAATGTCATTTTTGCCCCTTTAGTAATGTGAAGTTCCCACCTCCTGAAAGCTGACTGAAAGGCAAAATTGTTGGATGTGTGCAGAGTTGGAACTTTGCCTGTGGGAACAGCTCAGTATGTGGCCTAGTGGCGGGTCCAGGGGGGGGGGGCAACGGGGCAATTGCCCCCCCCAGAGATAGAGCCGCTGCCACCCGCAGTAGTAGCGACAGGAGTACATCACAGTGGCCTGGACATACTGCTGTCACTGTCCGAGTTTACTGTGGATCAGTGGCCGCCGCTGCTGCAGGCACGATCTCCTGTCAGCTCGGCTCTGCCGCTGAGGAGAGGAATCGCCGTACAGGCTCCTATGTTCCTCCGCCCACCTCTGCTGCTATTAGCTGGGAGGGAGAATGCAGCACCGTCATTGGCTGCCTCGGTATTTGTCAGCAGAGCGGGAAGGGAACTGCAGAGGAGGCACAACAAGGCTGCTTGGGGCTGCACATGGATGGAGGAGACATTGATGCTCCCCCCTCCCCCACCACCACCTGGAGAGGAAGAAGAGGGCATGAGGACAGAGCACATCACCACAAGTCCCTTTTCTAACTTACACCACTGACCTCCGCACTGCGTCACCTTACTGACCTCCGCACTGCATCACCTTGCTGAGCTCCGCACTGCGTCACCTTGCTGACCTCCGCACTGCGTCACCTTGCTGGCCTCCGCACTGCGTCACATTACTGTCCTCTGCGCACTGCATCACATTACTGACCTCCACGCACTGCTTCACCTTACTGACCTCCCCACTGCGTCACCTTACTGAGCCCCGCACTGCGTCACCTTACTGACCTCCGCACTGCGTCACCCTTGCTGACCTCCGCGCACTGCGTACATTACTGTCATCTGCGCACTGCGTCACATTACTGACCTCCCCACTGCGTCATCTTACTGAGCTCCGCACTGCGTCACCTTACTGACTTCCGCAATGCGTCACCTTACTGAGCTCCGCACTGCGTCATCTTACTGACTTCCGTGCACTGCGTCACCTTACTGACTTCTGTGCACTGCGTCACCTTACTGACTTCCGTGCACTGCATCACCTTACTGACTTCCGTGCACTGCGTCACCTTAGACCCTGGATCCGCCCCTGATGTGGCCATGACAGGAGGGTTTAGGAGGCTGTTGTAGGGATGTCCAGATATGTCTAGGTGCCTGTGTTCTATCAAAGTTTGTGACTGGGTTGGAATGTGTGACCGGTCACGTGGTCACACATTTTAACGTAATCCCACCCAGTTTTTCGGAGGTGGAATATGTGACCAGCAAAAGGTGAAGAATTCCAATGCTTTGTCACCTGTTCCTGGGCAGATCGGCTTTGCAGATCGTATGTACAGGAGAACCAATCTGCCCTGGAACAGCTGATCGGTCCTGAAATGTCACTTCTATCTGACTTTGTGGGATGTAAGATCGCACAGTCGGATAGAAGTGACATTTCAGGACCGATCAGCTGTTCAAGGGCAGATCGGGTTTCCTGCACATACGATCTTTGATTCCGATCTGCCCTGGAACAGCTGAGAAAGCGTTTTAATTCTTCACCTTTCGCCGGTCACAAATTCCACTGCTGAAAAACTAGGCGGGATTACATTAAAACGTGTGACCACGTGACCGGTTACACATTCCACCGCTGTTAAACTGGGCGGGATTACGTTAAAATGCGTGACCACGTCACCGGTCACACATTCTTACGTAGTCACAAACTTTGATAGAACACCTGCACTTCATGCCTGCAGCATCCCCTCCCATAGAGTGTCTTTTAAAGTGCCACTTATGTGCAGTATAGTGAATTATGATTGGTTACAGTGATGACGGTGATTCAGATGGACTAAAGAGAATGATTTCATTTACTTTTATTTCCAATTAAAAAACACCAGCTGCATTTCTACAATGCACAAGAACTCTTTGCCATCTGTTTTCATCCTAAGGAGCCCCCAAGCAACTCTCATTTAATATGGCAAACCTAAATGTCTTGCACTGATCAGCTGTTATTTGGTAAGATTCTGTTTCTTTTGTGGCATTTATTGGCTCAGAATTGTCTGATATATGAATAACTTCCCAGGGTAAAAAGAAACACAAAGAACATTTTCCGTTTTAGCCCTAGAGAAAGAGCAAATATAGAAGTACGGAACAAAGAATTCAAATGGAATATGTGTCAGCCCTTGATTTGCCTGTGAACACTGAAATCTCACATGGGACTTGTCAACACATCGGAGTGTATTACCTAGCTAACTAGGCTGAATAAAGAGACATGTCCATAGAGTTTAACCTCTAGCAAACTCTAGCAGTTTTGCACATGTATTGTGACCAGCTTAGCTTCACAGCACACACTACAAAAGCTACAGCGGCAATCCTCGAGCTCGCTAGACCTTTTTGTGTTTGCACAGACTGATTACACCAGAGTGATCTGTGCCATACAGAATATGAAGGCTGGCATTTCCTTTCAGCTTTTTAAGCGTAATCCTTTTATCATTTGTATCCTTTACGGATTATATCTGTGCCATTGCTCCCAGTTCTGCAGCATTGGAGTCTTGTTATACTTGCACATTGTGCTGTTTCAGAAGAACTTTGTGAGATTGTTGAAGTAAACACTTTGAGGTCTGCAGAGTCAGCGGGTCATAGCATTGGTATTAATTAGGACAGAGTACATAGCATTCGATGGTTTTAGGCTGAAAGCAAACCCTATTTTCTGTGCATTATTTAGCAGATGATGTGCCGCTCTTAGCAAACAACTTGTCAAACCAGCATGTTTTTCGGATGAGGTCCATTAGACAAAGTGACCTCAAAACCTTCTTGGTGTGAAGATTCTGCTGTATATCAAAAATATGGCAGTTACTAATGACAAACTGACCTGAGAAAATAATTTTGATTTCAAATTAGGAGTTTTTGCAGACGCTAAATATAACCAGCTGACACATTTACCTACTTGTCTTGTAATGGAGTGGTAGCTTATACATAGTCAAGCAGTTGAAACTCTCAAAAGCACCGAGTTCATGTTGACACCCTGTACAGCCAAAAGCAAAATAGGGAAAGTTCTTGTTGCAGCATGGGAGGTGAACTTCTTCCATGGTTCAAGTCTGTTCAGCTACAGTATATCAAAGTGGGGATGAGAAGGGCCACACACAGGAGCTAAAATCTCTGCATGGATGCACCATAAAGGTGGCCATACACCTGCCGATTATCGTACGATAATGGCGGGGAAATCCCGCGAACGTAAGATAATCGGCAGGTGTATGGAAGGAGTGTAACCGTTTCTCGCACATCTTTTGTCTTACGAGCACGTTTGAAAACCAGCTGGAAATCGTAAGATTTTCGGCGGGTTGTTGCGTGCTCGTAAGACAAATGCCGCACGGGCCGGTGTGCGCAAGCGCACACTGCCCGCTCAGCATTGCAGTCATCGGAAGCCCTCCCTTCAGCGGGGCGGGCTTGCGATGATCGCAAGTACGATCAGCCTGTCAAAGATGGGCAGATCTTACGTTTTTTTAATTACCTTACAAACATCGCAAGACGGAAGTGTATGGCCAGCTTAAGAGGATTGTTTTTTCAGAAGGGATTTTAGTTTTTATATAATTTCCATTATAACATAAATATGGGTGTAGTGGATGTTTCCACACTTAAAATATATGTCAAAACAAAAACAAAAAACACATCCAGTACATCTCTGCATTATGTGTACATTTCCACATCTTTTATTCCTTTAAAGCCGCTGCAAGTACCGTATATACTCGAGTATAAGCCGAGATTTTCAGCCCATTTTTTTGGCTGAAAAGTGCCCCCCTCGGCTTATACTCGAGTCAGCGTCAGGTGTCTTCTTACTTACCTCGCCGAGCGTCGCGTCACTGCTGCTCCGGTGGGCGGCGCTCCGAGCGGGGTCATCTGGCAGTCTCCGGGTCCTAATTTAGGTGGCCGGAGACTGCCAGATGACCCCGCTCGGAGCGCCGCACACCGCAGCAGCAGCGACGCTCGGCGAGGTAAGTAAGAAGAAGAAAAAACCCCCCGCAGCGGCCAGTCAGGCAGGGGAGCAGGGATGAGTCAGCGGCGCGCTGATCAGGCGAGAGGAGCTCCAGGTGGGGTTGTAATTTAGCGGGCAGGCACCTCTGAGCCAGCTAAATTAGGACCCCACCTGGAGCTCCTCCCACTGGACCAGTGCGCCGCTGACTCTCTCCGTGATGTGATGATCGATCACCGGCACACGGAGAGAGAGAGAGATTTATTAAGCAATTATATATGTATTGTCTGCACTGTATTAGCAGTATATACTACATATAGAGTATATACTGCTAATACAGTGCAGACAATACATTTACAATTATACTAACATGAATGTATTAAATGATCTGTATGTAGCCCTGTACTATGGATCATTTAACCCATTCATGTTAGCAGAGGATCATTGTAAATGTATTGTTGCAGGCACTCTATATGTACATGTACTATATACTACATATAGAATGCACT